CAGCACATCAGCTCACAACTTCATCCAGGACCATGCTCATTCTACCTAGAATTCTACTGTAACGCCCTGAGACGTCTGAGAACATTCTATGAAAACAAACCAAAGACTTGTTGCATGCCATTGTTTATTCTCTTGCACACAATGACACTGAAATAAAAGAGTTGATTTGACCAAGTTGAGAAATTCAGTCTCGCTTTCTCAACAAGAAGAGTCCAAGAAATGCACTCTAAGTGTTCTTAGAAGCAATTTCAAAAGATGAGAACAAAAGTGGAAGTGGCCCAGAGGTGCACAAGAAGAAGAAAGTGAAGAAATCAGACAAATAACATCAGGCAATAATTCTGATTTTCATAGGTCCTGTCCAAGGACTTCAATTGCAAATTCAAATTATGGAAAGGAAAATGCCAAATACTGGTTTAAAGTACACATGTACAGTTATAGTTTATAGTTAAAACTCTGAAGACACCAATCTAAACATTATTATGTGAAACCGTTTCTCAAAAAAAACATTTCTATTATCTACTTATTACACTGTGTCATTGACACAGTATAGATGCGAATATAAATGCCTAAATTGTCACTTATAAAATTCTAAAATAAATAGAAATCAAAAAGCCCATTGTGGACAGCTTTCAGAAAATAAAATCAGACGAAGTAAAGCTGCTTTGACATGGGTTTAGGGGTTTTGAGGTTTTGAGGCAGACAGTTTGAGCCAATGGCCTCAGAGCAGGGCTACAGAAAAGCCTCTGGGAAAAGTCCAGGGGTTGTCTGTGACTCATTTCCTCCTGGCGGGTGGACAGCTGAGGTTGTTTTCACTACCTTTGGAGAAAAAAGGGAGAGCTGGCACTGAGAGTGCTGATTGAGTGACCCACAGCCTCTGCTCTGCCCGGGCTTATCAGACCAATAGGTAACCTGCAGATATAAGGCAGGCAGAGGAGGGACATGGCATGTGAAGAAAGCAGTAAGACTAGAAAGAGTGTATTCCCTCCATACAAATCAGTGTCAGCCATACTAAGGCCCAAAACTGACAACCTGTGAATGAATTAAGTAAGCCTTAAACCTTTAAAACAAGGGGAAAAGGTGACCAACAAGAAACAGAAGCCACTCAATTCCTCTCTATTTTATTTAATTTGGACAATACTGAGTGACCATGTAAATACAAATACAAATCCCTTCATAAGATGAAATTTAACGGTTTAAAGGTCAATCTACGTTCCTACTCTCACCTATGGTCATGAACTCTGGGTAGTGACCAAAAGAATGAGGTCGCAGGTATAAGCTGTCGAAATCCGTTTTCCTTCGAAGGGTAGCTGGGTTCTCCCTTAGCTTAATTTGGGCGGTTGGTTGGTTATTTATATTCAGGTTTAGTGTAGATTTTGGTCAGTAAGAGAGTTGTGGTAACCCAAACCATTACCGCACATACCAGCTGTGATGGTTTGGGTAGAAAGGTAGAGAAAGCAATATGTCGCTCAATGTCCTCAAAAAAAAGGAAGTACAAACATCTCAGCATCTGGTTTACAATAGACAATAACATCTGTAATTGTCTATTTATGGCACAACTCTTCCTTGTGTGCCTTGACATAAACTGCATTTCCTTCCTTTGCAAACACAAACTACTCCAACTACAATGATATCAGTAAAGGACATCAGTGACTGACGAGAGTCCACAAAGGCACAACATCAGGATTATGACAGTCTTATCTCCATATCACACCAGAAGTGAGGTATTGATTTTCTGCCAAAGAGCATCACAGTCAAGAGAGATGGGCCACGCTACTCAAAAAACCATGCACACTCAGGGGCATGATGGAAAACCATGATGGACAGAAAAGGCAAAGACCAATAACAGCAATCCACTGAGGTAAAGGGGTAAAACATTGCTGTGAGATCTTGAGGTCATCTGTGCAAAGAAAGTGCTTTTTTGCACAGATAGAAAACAAATAGATGGAGACGAAGTAAAAACAAATAACCTGAGTATAGGATAGGAGTATTAACATGGAGCCTGCCTTTAGCTAACTTCTAATGTGAGCAAGAAATAACATGCTGATTCTTGGCAAGTTAAATAATATCTTAGTTTAGTATGTTTGTATATTTGCATTTGCTTGGGTATTCTTTCACGTTTGTACTGTATTCTTTGTAAACAATTTCAGATGAGGTGCTAGCTCCTGTTCGCATGGGGTTTGATTACACTAAATACAAGTCAAACTTACCAAAATGGAAATCCATCAAGCAGACATTTGACTCAAACCACTAAACAATATCAACCCATTGGTGCTGGCAGAGCAAAAGTCAGAAGATGAACAAAGTCCCTAGACTGTCATTGGATGAATCCTCTGCACATTGGAAACGTCTGCAAAAAGGAAATTATCCAATGAAGATCCAGAAAAGAAACCAATGAGCTGTCTAACCACAGGCATTGTAGAATTATGTCTTTAGTGATATGTTAACTGTATCTTGTACAGTTTTAATGCCATTTCCTGATAAACATATTTATACAAAACCCCTGCCAGAGTACAAAGTAATGAAAACTACCTTTGTGGTAGTCATGGAAAACCACCTACAGTTGGCAGAGGCCCATTTTAAACTAACAAGAAAGCATCCAATTCTGGCAGCAAGTCTGTTCAGACAAGAATTCATCTGCCAAATCTAACCAGGGTTACAACTGACCACAATGACAGACTATAACAGAGTTTGTATTCTGGCAGGCCTCCATTCATTCATTGTGATTATAGCCGAGGACTGGAAGGCTTCCCAATCATAACCATGACTATGACAAATGTCATTCTGCCTGCAAGGTCTAAGTGACAGGAATAATCTTTTCATGTTGAAGTAAACTGTTTAACAGTTTTTACCCTAAAACGGTATTCAGGCAAAGTTATCCTCCAAAGCAGTGAAATATTCATTTACAAAAAAGTGTGAAATTACCAAAATTAAATCAATTAAAACTGTAAGAAGAAAACCAAGAAAGAGCATGTTTAGATCGACAAGAAGCTAAGATATTCATCCATTTTGCTCCTCTCTCAAGGTCAGCCAATTCAACATGTTTGCTCATTCTGAAGGCAGGCTAATACAGTGGCTGTAGATGAACCCCTGAGGTGTCAGTGCAGCCGACTTCAAAAGATACTGTTAAGATATAGCCATTCAGCACACATCAGCCATTCAGCTTGTGTCCACACAACACCGTATCCGGGCAGCAGTCACCAGTATTTCATTTTCTCCTGCCGTTAAGCACTGAGTCACCAGAGTCATGCAAACAGTGTTAAGAATAAGAATCAGCAGAAGAGAATGGCACAACCTTTGTTCCTAAAGGAACAACGATAACACCTGGCCATACGTTGTATACATACAAAAAGAAGATGGAGCTGTAAAGACGTACACGTTTAAGAATAATCAAGTCTTTGTTAGACAGATTTTAAGACATTTGTCTGAACTTAAAATTCTATGTTTTAACCAGTAAATATAAGGGGATAGAGGAAAAAAATCAATATAGCATAATATCGTAATATTTTGCATGGTGATAATCATTATCAATATTTTATTAAATAAATTAAAATACTACAAACAAGAGGGCTCATCTCATGCGTCACTATCCTGAGATAATGTTAATAAAACCATAAAGCACTGAAACATTCTTTTATCTGTAAAATGAAAGCTAAGAAAAGTTAAATAGTCTATCTCATTTGATAAAAGCAGTATTGACAATTTGACTTTGAAAACATAATTTGCAGTTGAAAAAGGGCGATACGTTTTTTGTAAAGTCATTAACAACAAATGATGCACATTAATTTTCACGAGTGCTAAATAACTTACAATACTTGTCCAGTGTCATTTTCAAGTTACAAATATAAAATTTACAGCACTATACAGCAGCAGCTCTTTGAAACACATTATGAAAGTCTGTCACAGCTCGATCACGGGACTCAACACTCAACCACTTAACATTGTTCTTCCCACATTACATTTGTATGGGAGGCACCACGTTTCATCAAGCTAAAGGAACAAAAGACGTTTGGTTACACTCGAATAATTTTCAGAGGTTGAACCAAGGCCACAACCTTTCACTGACCTTAAACATGTCCTGGGAGATCCTACAAATAACATTAAATAAAAAAATAAAAAATAAAAAAAAAACAACACACAAAACTATCGCTTGAAAATATTGTACGTTAGCCTCTTAGGACCCCATGGCCTTATAGACTGTGCTATGAGTGCACAAAATTGACTTTTGACTCAATCTGGGCTCACAATGACACAAATGCACTTTTATGTTAACACACTGGATAAACAGAACCTGATAAATGTGGCACTGTGTCTTAGTAGCCTAATACAAATCTGCCGAGACAGAAAGATTTTTGTCAATGATAGTTTAACCAAGTATTTGACCTAATGCTCAATGTGTACAAGGGCTGTGTTACAATAACACATAACATAAAAGTCACAGATGTCAAACTGATTGAACACATTAGCTGAAGGACATCTTCACACGAGAATTAAGTTACAGCAAATCATGTACAGAGCACAATAACCAAAGGGAAAATGTGAAGCTTTTACAAGCACAAGGGCACATGTATTTAAGTTCCACATAGTGAAAATACACTAGCGCCCCCAAGTGTAAGGAAGCAGGCCGGCTATTTTAATACCTGACTTGTACCAAGACAAAATTTGTTAAGATTAAAAACAGCAGAATATTTAAAAAAAAAAAATTGTTTATCAAACTACATAACATATGTCTATTTGACAAAATAGTCCATCAGTTTGACTGCAGCACTGTTATTAATGTAAACACTGTCAACATGAAATAATGAGTCATTTGAAAAACAGACACCCTCCAGCTGGGGTTACAGTGCCTGTTTTAGGGTGAACACACTGTGATCACTGAGCATCAGTTAGCAAAAATGTGCTTTCACAGTAAGTAAGCAGAGACACACCTGTGCATACAAACATACACCTTACTTTTTCTTTTTTTTTTTTTATTACATTAACCTTTCTGTAACCGATTGCAAGCACACACAGAAATGACTCATAGGTTAACAGCATTAGATTACCCTCTTCCTTTGATTGCATCTTGGTCCTGAGATAATAAGATCACAATACGGCATCAGAGTAGCTACCAGTGTCATCTGAAAGAACCGAGCGGGAGCACAGTGAAGGTCAGGTCTGTCTTCATGACGCAATTTATGTCAAAGCACAGATGCACCTGGACCTCAATCAACATCATCCCCTTTTTTTAATGTTTAGACTTTAAACTACTCTACACAGATATGCACCCGTTTAAAATTGCCTTCGTGCATCTGGTACAATATCTCTGATCAATATGAATACTGATGTTGCTGATGTGCATTCCGTCATATACTGTATCAACAGAAAATGCAGAAATGTAAAGCGGTTTATAAACAGAAATAGAAACATTTACAGAACAAACAACGCAGTTAGGTGTTTCATTATCTGTCAGTAGTGACAGGATACAGTCATTAAGAAAAACATACAGGTCATTCGCTGGACCACAAGTTAGTGGAAATACATGAAACTAAAAATAAAACCCATGAAAAAACTGTTAGTCTCAGTCACTGACAGCAGGAGGTACACTTACCTGAAAATCTTGATATTGGCTCACACTAGTAAGCAACTAATTATACCTTTTTTGGTTTTTGCTGTTGTTTTATTTTTTGAAGTATTATACACTCACAAAAACAAATAGCAAGCTAGCTTTATGTATTAAGAAGAAAGATGTTCAATTATTTGCGATTAATTTGATTTTGGATTGATTGGATTTATAATTTTGTCATTTCAAAGTTTTTGTTAAAACATACTTTAAATTTTAGTAGGATTTAGGGAAGGTTTGGCTGACGGGAACATTTAATGACATATGTGCTACCATGTTTATTTCTGACCGCCTGCAGGAGGAAAATATAAGAAAAACCCTCTTACTGTATCTAATATATTTAACTGTTATTCAGACACTACTTATATGCAGAGTGTCTTCTATGCAGTGCTGATATGCGAGGGGCGGGGGGTCCAATATTATGGAACAACTGGTTTAGTGAAATTTACAAAACAACGGCTTTTGTGTCTGCCTGAATCAGGGTAACAGATTTCACAGTGGCTGACATAATGAATTACTCACCAGGCTGGAGGTGAGGGAGGGGTCTGACTTTCCAAGGTGCAGGGAACGCATTCGAACCAGGTTAGACGTCTCAGATGATGCCTGGCCAGCTGTCTGCTGAAGGTTAGTGGGTAGCAGAAGATATTTGCCTGCAAAACAAAACAGGAGAGAAAACACTGAACACAAGCACAGTGAAAATTTGAATTAATTATATTTGAGAACTACAGAAAATAAATGACTAGTTTGATAAGTTTGGACAACAATGTAAAAGCGCCCATCTTGCTAAGATTCAATGTTGTTTGATATAATTTCAAAAAAAATTAGAAGACAAAACTTGAAGCATCTTTTTATCTTTCATCTCAGATTTTTACCTCAGTTTTAAGAAAAACAACCCAACACAGGTGAAACTGTTAAACAAGGTCCAACTACACCAGCTCATTCACAAGCATTTCCTAATCACTCATACTATCAATATTCTGAGTTACAGGCCCTCAAAGCAACCTTTTGACCATTATTATGCACTCATTTGTTTTTAAATAATAATTTACTCTCATAACTTTTTGTAAGAATAACATTTGGCATTTAATGCACAGAATAGTTACAGAGTGGACTGGAAAGCAGGGTGAGAGTCGGACAGGAGTGACACACACAGAGCCCAAAGAGGCTTCTGCTCAACCAGGTAAGCACAAAACTTCTTAACAGGGACTGGTTTAAAATAAATAAATAAATAAATTTATACAATTGTGTCTAAATCTAAAGCCAGAATCCTTTACACAGCCTGATAATCCATGACCACAGGAAGAAAACAGGGAGACTACAGGTCAAATGTCGAGTAACAGGAAAGACAAGAAAATCTTTCTGCTCTTGTTGAACGTGCTGAGCTGAATTTCCAACAGCCAGGCGGGATGTTGAGGGTTTAGATTAAGGGGGGGGGGGACGACTAACTAACAGTGCCACTACAGTTTACTAAAAGTAAACAAATGGGTTGCCCTATATGTTTTAAAAATAACAGCACTCCTCTACAACAATATTCTTTGCAAAGCTGAATATGGCAGCTAGATGGCACCAATTCTACTTTTACCTCTCATCTTTTATCTCCCATCTTCTATCATAAATCTTCAGCACACAAAGGCAGGGCAAAGATGAAGGCTAATTCAGAAGCTCACCATTTAAATTAGTGGACTTCACTGTGAAACTGGATTTTCATGAATTTGAAAAAAAAAATGTCTCGTTTGTATCCACAAGTGTAATGTTCAGTTTACAGAATAAACAGAAGAACAGTGAGAAGGAAGGAAAGATAAGAAGGCTGAGCACAAAACAGAAAGGGAGGAGGTATGTCAAAAACATTTAGCCTAAGGCAGGCCTCCATTTATCAGGAGTGTTTTGCTCAAGATAAGCTAAAAAGGGAAGTTTGTCAACTCACTGCATTGCTAACAGCAAAATCTGAATTCAACAATAATGCTATTTAAGATGCATCTATGTCCAGAAGACGTTTTAATTTCATTTTGAAAACCTACACTCCTGCTAAAAAGCTCTGAGTCACGTAACACTGTTCCTGTTTTCTGGAAAGAAAAACACATGTTGACATTAGATAAAACAACGAGTGTAAGAGGAGCTGAAAAGGCCTCTAAAGATTTTCCATTTAAAAATTAATGAGCTACGGTGCCATTAATAACTCAGTCTTATTCAACATTCCCAATTAATTTCATGTTAATTACATAAATTCAACAAATTTGCTTTTCTGTTGAGATCAAACACTTTTCTAAATGAGCTTTATGAGCGCTACTGATGATGATTATCAAAATGATTAAAGCAATCTTATTTTAAGCAAAAACATAAAAATCTATCATCATAATAGTACATGGATTCTATTATTTTTAGTCTCAGCTTTAATACCCTCACTAGTTAAATGTCTCTGTTGTGCCCAACTACAGCTATAGCTGTTGCTGGGCACAACACCAGATGTATACATGCGAGTAGCAATTACCTGCCCTATAACCAGGTACGTGTAACATTGTGTCTGTGACATTTCTCTCAAATGTTTTATCTTAATTGCATGCTGGTGAGTAATGCAATACAATTATGATTATGCAATCTGATGTATCAGAAGTGGACCACTGTATAATCTAGGATAGGCAGTAATTGCATTATGGCATTAATCTCCCGTTACAAGCGTGCAATGCAATGTTCAGAAATTTGGAACATTTACAGAATTAATTAGATCAGTTACATACAGTAAACATTTCTGTTATGTTCATGACAACATATTATTTTACTTTTCAATATTTTTCTAACGACTGTGGTTCATTATATATCTCTAACTGTTGTTCTCTGAAACCCAGTTGTTGATTTCACTCCCATGTGGGAGTAAATCAGCAGACCTGACCCTTAAATAACCTTTAAAGTAGACACAGTGAAATGTCAGCTTTTATTGTTGTTGGGCAATAAAGATAGTACTGGTGTAGTAGTCTCTCATCTTTCTTCTCAAGGTTCTACAGAAAATTTAAGGGAAAATTAAATGTTTGGGAAAAATAAGCTGTTTTTTGTTTTGTCACATTTCTTTTCCATAGCAGACTAATTATGAATATCCGTTTTAGGCTTTAGTCAGACAACCGCTTTGTAATAAATAAGACTATCTGCTCATATCTGCCTATTGTGCTGCTGTAATCCTGACAGTTGCACTGTGATCACTGCTTCAAAACCAAGAGAACAGAGGGGAGACCAAACAGGATGAGGAGGGAAAATTAAAGTCCTTCCTTCCTTACCAGCAAAAGTTTTCCTCACTAGAGCCCATCACATCCCAGCACAAAGGAAATCTGTCACACACTAGTCAACACTTTCAGAAACAGGGGTGTCGGGGGGCAGTTTTATTTAGATTTTGAACAGGTATTTGAAAGGTCATTTCCTAGATCTTTCAACCACACCTCTTCGAACCATCACTGAAACAAATCTCTACACACACAGCGCTTCAGTTTAACACACTGTTTAAAGCTAACTTATTGCTATGTTCATGCATGCTTCCAGAACCTTGAAGGGTAAAAGAGGCAACCTGTTTAACCTTCAAATTCAATTTAGTCCAACTTGTCTAAATTTAAGCGATTAAGCTTCACTGTTTAGTCACAATGTTCACATTACCAGGACAGAAACACTCCTCATCCTGTTTATATCTCAAGCACTTCTGTATTAAGTATATTCAAAGCTGACCGTAGCTTTTATATGAACACAAAGATTTGACTATACTAGTCTTAAAACCTAGTGCATGATATGGATTTCTGTAAAGATTGCAAGTACTGCCCTGACCCAGGCATGTTGGGTCTGCAGTTGTGCTGTTAACCTAAAGACTCACTGATTTCAAAAACTTTTCCATTTTGATACTAAATTTCTGGTGTATACATCACTGAAGCACACAGTATTCAACAACTTTTCAAAAGCAGTCAGTACCCTGCAGGCTGCAAGCACAAATAATCTATAGCAAAACCCAAGAAAAATACATTTTGAGTAAGAAACCAAAACATCACACATCTTGTTCTAGTCAGGAAAAGGGAACTTGCTGTGTGCAGTTTGTTTAGTCTTATGTTTTATGCAGCCCTATTAGTAAAGGCTAATCCTTTTATTCAAAGCTGCACCTGATGAAAACAATTTTCTACTGAATGTTAAAAGGTTAGCATTTCAATTAGCGAGCTGGGTCTCCATAAATACGTCACAAGGGAAAAAAAAATAAGCTGTTCAAAGTCAAGGGGCTTCCAATTACTGAATCGAAGCAAACAAGGCCAGTGAGCACAAAAAACCCCAAAACAAAACATATTAATACAAAGTGGTGCTGGCCACCACTTAAATTGGCCTAGTGTAAGGATGAAACACCATTCTTTTAGAAGACATTCATTGTGTGTCTTGATGAGTGAGCAACATTTGGATAAAGCTACTGTAATCCCAGATGATACATTATAGAATAAAGGTACTCACTGAGAATGACTTTGTACTTGTTAGCAGCAACTCTTAATTCCAAGTAGATCCAAAATATGAGCAAAGTGCCCCTCAGAGCATAACAGAACATTCAGTGGTTTTCCATTTATCTGACACCTGTCTCCATCTCTAACAGTTCACCCACTGATATATCCAGACAGATACTGAAACTTGAAGCTGTTTGTTGCATTTTATTTTCCATAGCGCTCTCTCTGAGAGTGACAGTGTGGCGTTTCTATGATTTTACTTCCACAGGGGTATGCACTGATTAAATATTTGAGCCTGACTAAAAGATTTGCTATGGGTGAAAATGGGCCATGGCAGTGTTATAGTCAAGCGTGATATTGTCCTTCACATAAAATAATGAATGTCGGTCTCAGAGTGAGGAATTAAGGTTATTTATTTCACACTTGTATTGTATTTATATTGTATGTATTTATATAACAAAACAACAGTCACCTTAAGGTGCTTTATATTTTAAGGTAAAGACCCTTCAATAATAAAGAGAAAACAATGAAATGACCAAACACTTGGCGACAGAGAGAAGGAAAAACTCCCTTCTAACAGGAAGAAATGTCTGGAGAAAGAAACCACTGAACCAGGCTCTGGGAGGTGCAGCTATCTGCTGCCACCGGTCCGCAGTGATGGAGACTTTGCTTCTAATGCCAAATATTTTTCAAATAGCTTTCTTGTGTTTAAATGTACAACAGCTATTCCAGTACAGCTATTTCTGCATGTATTCAAATGGTTAAAAGGTCCGAGTGCTGCTCTAAAGTGTATGACCTTTTCCAACCACATGATACCAAACATTTTTGAACTCACCGTTCATTGTGAGAAAAACATGTTCTGTAAAACCACACATAATGCCAGCAAATAGCCTGCGCATAATTCCACAACGATGCTGTTATGTTTTACAGTTTCGCAAGGTGTCCAGTTTGGTGGTATTTAAGACTGATCTGTGGTGTCTGCAGATGATGATGTAATCGTTTTGGCTTTAGCAACTGATGCATCACTGATGCATTCTCAATTTTTTTTCTGTAAAAGGGTGAAACTTTTGTTGAATTCCTCGGGCAATGCTCTCTCAGAGTAACACACAGGCATACACTAACACTGAAAATTGTTCACAGTAGGATCTGTGGATTATCCTGATTATTAACCAAGGCAGCTTCTGGAAATACATTTTAAAGTCACATTTCAATGCTCTTAACACCACAAATTAAATTCCACTGTACTATAAAGCCACTAATAATTGAAAGCAAAAACATCTCCATAGCTGCTAATCACTAAAGATAAGAGGGGAAACATGTTCTGGATTAAAGACCTATTCATGATGGATCAGCCAACTATGTTTGAATGATTAAGTGTTGCCTCTGTCTCTGGGGTCAACCACTCTGAATACATTTTCAAGCAGTGGGAAGTGGTGAAAATTACACATGAAGGTACATTTCACTGAGTGGGGAATTATTAAGTGATTTGATGAGGGACTTTTATGTTTGCTTACTGGATCCTTCATGTGGAGTTTTTATTAATATTTTGGTTACACAGAGAAAACTTAATTACAGTGAAAGAAATCAGGCTGAACAAAAATACACAAACTCTCCTCTTAAGTGGTTTTAAAGAGTGTATGTCATATGTTTATTATTTGTGTACTCAGACTATGAGTCATAATATTATGGGAATACAGGAACACAACCAAAAAGGCAGCCCCAAAGGAGAAAACTTTCCAGAACCAAAGACGTTTTCATCTTTGCTAGGATCTGGCTAGGATCTGGCAGCACTTGCTCATAGATGATGTCAATCTTTCAGTGTAAATCAAACTAGTGAGAACTTTTAAAAAAAAACATTACCTGTGAGTCCACCTCCAAGGCTCCTCCTTCTAATGTTTCTTCCATCCTCACTGAGATGTCGTTTAAATTTGAGTGCAGGACTTAACCCATGTGTCAGCTCTGGGTTACTGGACTTCCTGAGGTATGTGTAGGGTGGGTAGAGGATGTTATCAAACTAGGAAAAGAACAAAGGCACAAAGAATTGAAGAATTAGGTTTAGCAAACTTTCTTTGAGGCAAAGCAATACAAGTGCGAAAATCCAAAATAAACTTTTATATAATGAAAAAAAGAATTTAGCTTGTATAATGTTTTTCAGCATTTAATGCAGTAATAGTATGTTGCTTTTTAAGAATAATTTTCTATCTTGAGGTGGCTGTAGCTCACGTGGTAGAGTAGGTCACCTACTAATCAAAAGGTTGGCAGTTTGATCCCATCTGCCCCATTCTGGATGCTTGGATAGTATCTCGGGCGAGATACTTACCCCATCGAGTATAGGGCAAGTATCCATCTCACACACATCCTGTATGAATGTGTGTGTGTCAATTTACTTCTGGTCATTAAAGACTCTTTGCTGAAGGAGACCTGCAGAGTCTAAATACATCAGGCAAACCCAAGGACAGGCTTGGACTTCTCAGACAATTTTGAAAGGGAATTGCCAGAGTGTTTTCCAGAAAAGAAACGTTCAGCAAAAAGCTTGTAGCAACATCTGATTAATTCCAAATGTCATTCTTAGTTCAAGGATACTGAATGTGAAAGGGCGTGCTTACATGACAGTCTAAGTATTCAGTGTGCTTTCATTATTCATAATTCATGAGAAATGTTTAAAAGAAAAATGCCCAACTGTTTATGTCAAAAAATATGACAAACCCATTGCTAACACTCCTCATGATACAAGCACAACACATTACAGAAGTCCATTGTATTCTCAGGAGATAATAACTTGTATGAAGCTCAGAACAAATAAAACCTAGGAAGAGGCCCTCCCTGAGAATACAAAGACATACAAGGCTCAGAGCACTCTGTGGAAGGAAGTGCCCTTTGCTTCTCTGTGGGATGATTCATGATCCTAAATCTATGAAGGACAATGAAAACGAACCCTCTGTAGGGTGACATGACCTCACAGTAAATACAGAAGTCTAAGGCAACAGCTATATAGTAAAAAGAAAGAAAAAGCATAAGCAAATAATAGCTGTACTTTTGAAATGCTAAATACATAAACTTAACAATAAAGTTACTCACTGGTACTAAAACACATTATTAACAATAAGCACACACAGTAACAGGACAGTTTACAGGACCTTACAGGACTGTACCATCAAGATCTTATGATTTTGAAACGCCCAGGCTCTACAACAGTAATGGTCGCTGTTAAAACACAATATGGTATTTGTGCTGAGGGCAAATATCACTGTGCATATCAGTCTGAGTTGTAGAACTGCTAGACATGATGAACAGCAAACCACGTGCCGCATAGTGGAGAATGCATAGACTTTTAGCTGTGTATAAGCACACACATCAACTGCATTTATACCAAGGTGGCACATAGAGTTCAGTACATGGAAAAGGATGGCTTAAATCAGATATCACCCTGCGTCCACACACCTGAATCAAATGATTAGTTCGTTACCAGGCCTCTCGAGAACCTTAAGACATGTTGAGGAGGAAATTGAGCCATTTAAATCAGCTGTGTTGGATCAAGGACACATCTAAAACCTGCAGGCCACCAGCCATTGAGGCCTGGAGCTGCACACCCCTGGCTTAAATGTACTGTGTGTATTCACAGAATGAATTTGCTATACAATGTAAGCACATGTAATGCTGAGTGTATTAAACAAACACAGTGACAAAGACTTTTCATCTGTACTTCAATATTTGAGTTACACTTACACATTTTTTTGGTCCTGATTAAGTCGATCCTGGTTAGGCTACCAGTCTATCACAGCGCCAACACAGAGAGACAGACAACCACACAACTACAGACAGTTTAGAATCACCAGCTAACCTAACAAGCATGTATCTGGATTGTGGGAGGATGTCAGAGTAGCCGAAGAGAAGTCCAACAGGCGCAGGAAGACCATGGACTCAAACCAGGACATCCTTGCTATTGGTATAGCTCCACTGTACTGCCTACAAGTTATCTAGATATGCCTCAATTCCATTATTACTTTGATTATGTATAACAACAACTCATTCTTTAATGCAAACTGTACGGTAGCACTACATACTAATAAGCTTTACATAAGCTAAGTGAGCGAAAAATACAAGGATTTCAACTTGAATCTCAATACACAGTACTCAGTCTCAAGCATCTTCATCACACTATAATTGCAGGAACCCTGTAGTTCACTGCAACCTCCAGTTTCCTATCTGAATGTCCTTTGAAGACTAAAAGGTTCAGTCATCTGTTAAGCTCAGGATTTGGCTGCACCAGCTTTACGTGGATTGGATGCACAGTCTCTGCTAAATCCTTATTTACAACATCAGGTTGCACCATTAAAAACAGACTCACTCACTTGAATAATGTGCAAGATAGTTGCTAGGAAACTATCTGTTTCTCAATCTGAAACACAGGCCCATCAAAAGCAAACAACTGCGCAAACAGGAAGTATCTGTGGCATCATTAAAATGGTTTTAGGGGCAAAAGATGCAAATCATTAACATGCGTACATGAAGAAATATGTTTTAGAGGTAGTGTCGTGCAAGCTGTTTACAATGAAGTCACTGATCATATTAAACAAAAACTAATCCTTAAGTTAGATATGCTTGGGTTTTTCTGTCTGATACTGATTACAGTTTAATATTGGTTCACTCATGTTTAGTTTCTAATACTGAATGGTAATGTTTTTCCCAAAAGATACTAATAATCGGCTGTTCCAGGGAGAAATCAGAAGCGACTGTAGAGCTGACTCTCTGTATAAATGGAATCGCGCAGTCATTCAGGAGCTAGTAGCTTGAAAGGAGTAACTCAGGAGTAACTGTAATTTCCCTCATAAATATCTACAACAAGCTATAATTCTCTGTTCACGGGTCTGCTACAAAAAATAAAACTGTAGGTAAGAATCCTGATATTTAAGTGGCTTTATTGAAATTTCAACCATGTGCAGTGGTACAGTACACAGTGAAGCGAGACAGTTTTCCTCCAATGGTGCTACAGGTCACAGACAATCAACACAGGACTAAATACATTGCAAATTCTTGCAAATCTAATTTAGTGAGCTGTCCCGATTACAGCTAGCATTTGTGTGTGTAAAATTCAGAGTAATTAATATATGTAAACAAAAGTAGCAGCTAATTAAGTATGATTAACACTAATTTAGTGATGTTGAAATAGTTGGTAAAGACTAAAACTAATGTGACGATATAGCAAATTGTGACCTTCCTAACAGCTGGTGTAACAGTGCCCAGGTGTTTAAAGCCAAATACATTTAAAATAATCACACATGAACAGATGGTTATGTAACTTTCAAGCACACAGATAATAACCAGACACTGCATAAATAAGCAGCTTACGGTTATGCCGTGAAACAATTTGTGAAAACTCCTGCATCATTCAGTCCTAACTTCTGAATGCCAGCGATGAAAGGTGGCACACGTACAATGACCTGATGGACGTCCTTTAATCTATTAAAATAACCACGTGACCGCTTTGTGCTTCTACAGCAAAAGGAAGTTGTACAATTTTGCAGAACTTCTGTTTCTCAATAACTTCTTTTGCCAGGCGTCATCTTTTACTCAAGGCTGTTTTTCTGACTTATTCTGGCCTTTTCTATTGTACATATGTATCAATTATTTTAAACAAGAGAGTAGCAGTTCTCTTCTGTTAGTTGGACCCTATTAACTATAACTAGCAGATTACTTGGATTTATATGTTCTGCTTTATTTTGCTATTGACTCACTGTACACCACTGATCTTCAGACTTTGACCCTACTACTGTAGTCTAAACATTTGCCTTTCATGAGACTAATCAAACATGAAGTATTGTGTAATGAATCTTTTGGGAAAGAAATTTAAAAAAAAAAGAAAAAAAGAAAAAAGAAGAAGAAACAAGGCTATGTGTGAACCAGTACAGGATAGAAGATGCTACTTAACCCACAGAATATGCTTTTTAACCCACTACCAGATATCATTAGTGATATCCTCACTGTCGGTCTAGAGCTACTAATAACACAGCAGATTGTACATCTGACAATTTTCGACCCAACGCTCTACAAAGGCTTAAATGTGTAAGACTTGTTATCCTTCTAACCGTTTTCCTTCATGTCACATATGATGCACCATCTGAGGCAGTGCAAACTTGTGGAGGAATGCCAAAGCTGGCACAAGTTTTATATTTTCTGTTTTCCTTGTTGAGCATATCAGTTATCAGTGACTATTTCCCAGACAATGTATCTTTAATTTACGTAAATTAAATCCCATCCACTCTGCGCAATAGCTTATTAAAAAGGTACAAGTAAATAAAAATCCAAAAGACTAAAGCATCTGCATACATTTTATGAGACACAGCAGCCAGCCATTTGCAGCTCCCTTTCTGTGTGGACACATTGCAGTTTTGGCAGCAAGCAGTGCCCTTTCACCCATCATTCCTTTCTACCTGCAGCAGAGCCTCGCTGAACTCTGGAGAGCAGGATCAAACCTGACCTGTAGCCTCCTTCCTCCATCATCCTGTTCGCCCTCGGCCTTGCACAGAGTGTACAGTACCAATAGGCTTTTGTTGCCAAAGCAAAAACAAAGAAGGTGGGCTACACAACACAATGCTGGTTGTGTTTACCAACTAAAGAATGAGGCAATCTCAGCCTGCATGTATAAAGACCATATGTTTTTTACTGACAGGTTTTCATTATCATTGGCTGTTGTGCTACTTTTACTTCAACTGAGACTACTGTCCAATACTTACCAAACAACGCTGTAACCTTGATCGTATTATGAGATTACACGATCTGGCACCATGATACCCCTGTGGTCTACAAACCACTGCTTGAAACTAAGCTTTCAATATTTCCTGTCATTCAACAAACTTAAAAACGTGTAACACTAATAATCAATCCTTGCAACACCTGCACTTTTAACACTTTTAACAGTATTGGAGGCATATATTAAGAACCTGACAGCAGATAAATTAATGCTAAAATATTAATATTTATACAGTATTTACAGCATTACTTGTATTCATTTGG